GTCTAAAACCAGCCTGGTTCTCATACGTGCACACTTCAAGTGCGGTAGACAATCGACGGAGTATAATACCAGCAAGAATTTTAGAGACGATGTTGATTAAACTAATTCCTTCGCACCACAGATGAACTGTCGGGGCGCATACAAAAAGCACGGCTGGCACTTGCCAACCTGAGACATTTGTGACGCCGTCACGGCATCCGGCTGTCTGTGAAGAACCGAGTATATGCTGCAGCAGTTCGGCCAGTCCTGTTTGACGGTGGCCACTACGGGAACAGGATAAAACACACATTGTTGGTGATCGACCACCGCTGTCTACGTCGAATTGCACGTGTCTGGTTGGGTAACCGGACAAGCAATGCTGTGGTTAGGCGTAGAGTTTTAGGCAGTCGCGGTTGCCCACTGAAGCAAGTGCTTAACCACCATAGACTATATTGGTTGAGGTATGTGGTACGCGTGTCACCAGATCGGTTTCCACCGTAAACACTATGAAATCCTTCACTTTCGAATCCAGACAACAGAGCAAAATATCTGATAAGAAATAATGCAAATGATAGCAAATTGAAATAATACCAACTTTTGTAAGACAGATACTTCACGAACTGTAATTCTATCATTGAATTCGTTTACTGGTCTAGTTCTGCCATCAGGCGCGTGCGGTAAAGAGCTAGTTTTTTTCATTTCCTTCAAACGATAAACTGCTAGTTTAAATTAGTTTAGTTCTATTCTCGAAGATCTGGGAAACCGAAAATGTACCTCACATATGGGGAGAATCGATTGTTAAACCCAGCTGCAAAAAGGGCTATCGCAACGCCTGTTTTAACCACAGTGGCATAAGTTTGATTCCAATAGCGCCGAAGCTGCTGGTGTCCGTTTTATTACGCAGGTTANCCCAGCTGCAAAAAGGGCTATCGCAACGCCTGTTTTAACCACAGTGGCATAAGTTTGATTCCAATAGCGCCGAAGCTGCTGTCGTCCGTTTTATTACGTGGGGAAGTTTAGGGCCTATGGTGAACTTTCACCCTCCTTTCATGTCACCAGTGGAGTACGACAGGGTCGCCCTAGATGATGTCCTACAAAACGCGTTACATAACATAACGAACGCTGGCGTCATGCTTCGTCCTGGACACAGTGTCGTAGACTTAGAGTATGCCGATGATATTGTCTTATTTAATAACAACGTATTGACGATTCAAGCGTCTTTCGGCACTTGAGGTTGCTCGCTGTGGTATGTCCTTTGCACCTACAAACTGCAGTGTTGTTGCAAGATTGGCAGGAACCAATTCCTGCACTTTCGTTGGGTAATGGCACCAGAAGTAGTCGAAAGCTTTGTCTACCTCGGGAGTTGCATAACAGCTGATGGAGGCGAAGAGATCTCAACGTGTGATCAAAGCTAGAATGGCGTTTGCTAATCTGCGGTATCTCGGGAGCCGGCGCTACATATCCCCTGCACTGAAAGGGCGTGTGTATTGCACAACGGTACGCACCGTGTTGCTCTCTGGTTGCGAAACCTGGTCTCTCCGATCAGATCATGTGCAACGACTATCCGTCTCGACAACCGTTGTCTGCGCAACATCGTCCGCTTATGTGAATACCAATGAGGTCAGACGTGTGTTAGAATCAGATAGTCTTCCACTGAGCAAAGTCATTTCACTGCATCGTCTTATGTGGTTAGAGCAGGTCCTATAAATGCCTGAGAAACGTCTGCCACAACGTGCACTATTCGCAGACATCGGTCCTGGGTGGAACAAACAGCAAGGTGGACAGTCTCTGATATGGCGCAGAGGATTGAAGAGATTGTGCTTGGATCTGGCCTCCGTTAGGGCCAGTTACTGCATTGAGAATGTCACCTCGATTGGTGATGAAACGTTTGCAATATAATTGCCAAGCTCGGCGAACAACTGAACCTCATTATACATATATATATATATATATATATTCATTTTCCAAAGGACGCAAGTAGCGGAGACCATTCAGACGTCCGTTTCGTTGTGTTGCCGACAGGTGGTCTTGGCTTCCAACAGTGCATGTGGTTGGTTTGTTCGTTATAATTCTTTTTCCTGCAATGTAGAATTTTTTTATTCGGTATCATATCCCTCCATCTCCTGTACAATTCCAAATAGTCAGTCCCGGAATCACCAGGTTGAAGCATAGGTGTAACACTCGTTGTTTGTCATGTAATTCAATTGTGAACAGATTACGAGTGATATTTTATGATATTTTCACAATTGCCATGCAGGTAAACTGTGTGTTTTTAACGCACGTGTCAATTAAAAAGATCGATCTGTTTATCTTCATCCTCTCATTTACTTGATGTTATCATAGAAGTTCACTCTTGTCAGGCTCCGATTTTACTCATCATGTTTTAAGTCATTTCCAGTGTGAACGGGCTTCTTTTTTATACTTTCCCCACTCTCAGTCATCCTTACCCTTCCTCCTAAAAGTGTATGGTTACCACAGAGACACCTAGTTCTCGTAATTGCCAATACTATAATTTCGTGAAATTTGACTGAGAGTGACGGAGAGAGAGAGAGAGATGAATAGCTGCTACAATACGATACAATTCGATTAGACTACATCCTATTTGCCATCGTCTATTGATCCCATCATGGCCCCACGACTCACTGGACACCCTATATGCGAGACAAGTCGTATCTCCCTGTTCCCTTCACATCTGTACATCTACTTCCGGATAATTACGCTTTTTATTCGGGTAGACTTGTGAAACGATTATCGATTGTAAAATTTGCCGACAGACTCACTCACTGCATTCGAGGCCGCTCTGATCGTGACCGGAATCATCGTGTGACTAATTTCTCACGCCACGCCACGCAACTCGCGCGATCGCTCACTCTCGTCTTTGATCGGTGCCTGATCGGAACCTACCTAATGTGAACCACCGACCGAGGTTGGATGAGCACTGTCCGCAAATCGCATCACCGGAACCGGGCATCACGTGGGAAAAGTCGTACGGGGCCGTCAGTAATCAGCCGTGAAGGTGCATGAAGGCGGTCGGTACGATTTTCGAGTGCACGCACCGTTTTGATTCACTGCCGTGTGTACCACCTATCTAACAGCCTACTTATCTCTACCTATCTATCATTGGTAATGCATACCACGCACACACGCGAGCGTCCGATGCGGCGAACTTCGCGGCCTCGTCTATTGGCGGACAGATATGAGGGCAAACCAAGTACGTGACTTTCATCAGTGATGGTCTGTGTAGGCGGGTTGGTGGCTGACGGGGCACGTGCTACACACGCAGGCGGCAACGCAATCAATTTTTTCTTGCATGCCATCTCAACTATGAGGGTGAATAGGGGGGGGGGTGTTAAATCGATCGTGTTCACACCCCAGGTTGCACTGCAACATTTTTCTTTTTTTTTAAAAAAAAGGAATCTGATCAGGTCACATCAGAAGGTTTGTTTATGCATATTCCAGCATTCTTTTCTCTCATAGTAGCCTCTCTTCTCACTTTACCCATGTTTAATTGACTGTACAAAGGTTTCCGTACAGGTTATCTTCCTTAAATTTTGCTGATTCATCAAAACCCGTTGCAAAACAAATTGATTAAACAAGGCGCGTGGTCTGTTTTAGCCTCCCTCTTATTCCTACGCTTAGGTGACCTGTTCCTTTATGCGAATAAGTCGAACGAGTCTATGAATATTCTTCGGAGCGTAGTGAAAAATGGTATCATGAAACCTTTTTCTCCTCGAGGATCCATTTCATGGACAATTGCTATCTGGGGTGGGGTGGGACAGCAGGGTGATGAGCACGGGCTTGATCCGCACACTTCACAATACTTTCTATGGACATTTACGTTTACATACGCATATGGCTCCGATATCGTGCTGATCAATCGTTATCGTTTATTCACTGGAACAAGATCATCAACGTGTTATGATCCTTTTCCATCCTAAACCCTGAGAAGCGCTTGGCAGCTCCACTGACCGAGATTGAAAAAAAACCCGGAACTCCTCAAATCGGTTGGAACTTGAACGAGTCACCTATTGAACCTTGACATCTGTATCCTATGATTGAAGATCTTAGAATCACTTTTGATGAACTTTACAGGATATTATGGAACGTTGAGTCGATGTTTCCCATGCATATGTGGCGTTTGAGCTCAATGACATTCGGCTGTTTGTATGTGGTTCAACTTCAAATCGGATTTCAAAAAAGAAATAATGGAAACCAATGCTGAAAGCCGTTTCATCCTGGATAAAATTTCCAGAGCCCCCCCCCCCTCCAGCCGGTTTCAACCTACTGAGCCGTTTTTACACTGACTAGTTTGCCACACAGATCCATATCTCAACTTCGCCCCTTCATAGCCTTTCAGTTTCTCCTCCACACACACGCGCACACACTTNCACTTTGCTCACCAGAGAAAAAATGAACATCGAACTCCGGTCGCTGACAAAAAAAGCAGTTTTCGTTCGAATGATAACAGTCCGTCAGTGTTCAGATCGCTGTGTGGCTTTCAGCTGAGCGAGCAGCTGTTCTCTTTTGTCTGAGTGTGTGACGCCTAGTGATCGAAAGCGCTAGTACGAATGTGGTGCAGATGGTTAGCTGATTTTTTCTTTTGTCCGGGTATTCAATCACAACTATCCGATTGGGCACTTACTGTGTGTGTGTGTGTGTGTGTGTGGTTAAACTTAAAGATGCTCAGATCACTGATCGAGCTAAGAGGTGCTATCGTAGACGTTAAAGTAGCATAACTTTGGATCCTCGAGTTAATCTCAGTGGGTACCACGTTGTCACCTTATTGTGACTGATGCGTACTCGTTCATCCAGCATCATTTTCGACGTCCACCTATTCCGTGATCACACTCCGTCTTTATCGGGAAACAACAACAGGACCACGAAAACGTATCTTAACATGTTGCTCCACTATGATTCTCATCGGTTTAAAACGACTCTCTCATCTTTTTCCTGTGTGGTCGCATAACAGCTTTTCGCAACCGATATTCACGTTGGCCTGTTACGGTGTGATCCGCCATAATTTTGTTCCATTCTGTTAAAACGGTGTGACCAACCAAGTGGTCATTTTATACTTGTCTTCAACCCAAACAGAGTACAATATAGTCATCTATGTCACCAAACCACACCCCAGTCCCATCCCACTCGGTTTCTCTGTGACTCACTCTCTAGCGGTCTCGCGCGCCCACGCAATCCATTTCCACGACTGTGGGAGAGAGAACGGCTGTCGTTTATGAATGTGTATGTGTCTGTGTACCGCAGTAAAGAGATCAAGACACACAACTGTCCCATAAGGTTGATCTCGGTGTTTCCTCCTCCCTCTACCTCATCAACGCTTATCATCTCTCTTTGCCCAGTCAGTCGGTTGGTCCGGTCGATATTTTAACACACGAGCACACCATCTCGCGGCTCGTTCCTAGACTGACCCAGATTGTAAGATTTTTTCCCCGGCTCTCATTCCGGTTCAGTGTACGTTTTTTTCTCAGCTCTCGAGGAGTGGCATGTGCCGACCAGACATATCCCGGGCAGTCTGGTGACGATCGACAGACGCATCGATTACGGGGCAGTGTGATGGGGTTCAGAATTTAGTGGTTCCTCGGTTCCGTTTTTATCGTTTCCCTCGCGTGTCTCACTTTGTCAACTCTCTCTCTCTCAGTTTCAAATAGATCCAAATTTCCCTTATTGGTAGTACCTTGTTTTCTCTCACTCGTTCTCTGCCTTTATTACTCATTCCTTGATTCATGTTTTCCATTTTCTATTGTTCTTTAACAGTTTGTATGTGTTAATTTCGATAACTATCCCTCACACACACACACACACACACACCGACGATTTTTCCCCTCCTCTCTCTAGTCAAGTCAAGTCAAGTCAGGGCGTTTTTTTGTGTAAGACACTCTCCATCAGATGGGTGACACGTGAACATCAACCTGTCACAATACTTTTTTTCTCGTTTTGATTGTGGTTGTGAAAACGTCCCACCCCTACGGATTCCATCAATCCCGACTCGAATATGATAGATATGCGAAGCATATTCCATTTGAGGGGAATTGATAGAAAGAGGGTGGAATGTTGAACTGATCGCAATTGTCAACGTCACAGTCACTATCTCCATCATAGTGTAACTGGTAGTCGTATGTAAATTGGCTTCTTTTCTAATCCAGTTTTCCCCTCGTTTGTCCGGCGTTTTAATCTGTTGCTCACAAATCAATCTGAGTATTCATTTTGTTGTAATATTTGGTGCAGGAATTGTAATTCTTCGTGAACTGCGCTCTGTGTAGCGAGTCATTGAATCAAATTTCGCTTTCTTTTGAGTAGTACAAAACTTTGAAAATGAATGTCCTGTCCCGACCACGTGCATTTTCTATGCACACCGAGCGTTGCATAGATCCCTCATCGGCGGGGTTTCATCTAAACATCAAGAAATGCGATCTGGTTATCAATTTTAGTCCTCTAGAGTAAATCATAATGTTTGGATGCGCGCAGTTAAATGTTGTCAGTAGCTCATTGGTTTTACTATCCTGTCCCTTCAAACGCAGTACGTCATCGACATATCTTTTGTACAATCACGCCGTCGGAGATCATTGGATCCATAATTCCGAGGTTTGAACCACATCACTGCTACTGAACTTGAGCGATAGATAGCTTCGCTATCAACCGATTTAATGCCAAATCTATCCCAGTGCGGATGGAGCACCTATGTGGTTCACTATCCCAGGTACCAGCGCTTAGGTTGCCAGTTATCGTGGGCGAACGATAGATCCTGATAACTAGATGTTGTTCTCCTTAACACTTTGTGTTTCTTAAGGGAAGTACCAGTAATCGCGTGTCTGCTATCCCCTTGAATGTTTTATTGATTGGTTTGTGTGACTCTCGAATGCCCTGCTTGATTTCTCTTGTTGATAAAATACGCTGTAACTTTACACGTCCGTTAGGTGCACGTTGTTCTTGTTCTTCTGTCACGTGTATTCTGTCCTTTCAATTCTGTTTGTTCCCTGATTAGTCTAAAACCGCGATTCACTTAGCAAACAGTCGGAGAGGAGACTTTTCACGCGTTGATCAGCTAATTGATCGTCCTCGAATGTTTTTTTTCATTGTACTTCCTTAATGCAATACAAAATTATACAGTTTTCAGCAAAGGGGAAGTGGCCAACCAACACGCGAAGAATTGGGAAAGTCAGGCTGCGGTGGTGTTGGGATTCGAACACACCTCCTCCGCATGGGGTGATGCTTTAGTGACGCCACCACGGGGGCCACTATCTCCGTAACAAAATCACATGTTTGCTCGGTTTCCTCGAATGTTTACAGCGGAAAATAGAACTTACGCGTTCTGATATTTATTCATTTACACGTCGATTTCATAAGCAGATGAGGATTTTTATCCTGTGTTATGATAACTGTCGTCTGTCCTATTTTTTTTTTTGGTTTACTAGCTCCACTGTTCATTTCCACCCCACCCACCCACCCCCTAACCCTGGTTCTTACATACTCCCTGGAGTTGCTCTTTTTTGACTGTCCTTTTCGTTCGTTCATCGTCTGTTCTCTTGTTTCTCTCCCTTTCTGTGGCTTCCTGGTTCGTCTTTTTTGCACAGATATTCACAGTCGATTTAGACGAATTGCATGTTCATCTGCCCCCGGTTCTGGTCGAGCGTTGGTTCGATCAACTCACCCAACATCGTCATTTCGACTGGCTTCGAACATGTTTGAAAAAGAGTGGTCATGAGCACAAAATCCCGGACAATTACTTCACCTCTCCTCCTCCGGTCTACCGCAGTCTCACTCAGACCGGATGTGATGTGCTTCAATGTGATCGTGTCTCCGGTATTCCATCCAACCCGAGTACCACTTCGTCTATGGGCATTTCATCCGTGGGACACGCACAAGGATTGAGTATTACCGGTCTCGGGTACAGTAGTTCTCTCAAATATCCTCCACGGGTACGTCGACGTTCAGATGATCATCCTGTCGGACCGATGCATGGAAGTACACTGGTTCACGAGAAAACTCCGAACGGAACAACCGCGACAGATCTATTCGGCTCATCCGTACTGACTCGTCTGGATCGGACCAATGCGAATTGTATGCTCACATCCATGTACAACACGGTGAATGACCCGACTCTGTTGCGTCAGGTCGTGAACAACAGTCCCAGTTTGGCCGTCAGTCAGCGCTCGTTTCGGGTATCCAAAACACAACGTGCACGAAATAACAATGGACTGTCTCGGCTCGGTGTTACCCCTGTGCCCACAATCGACGCCAATCGTGCCAATATGACCTGTCCGAACTCGCAAACGCGACTAGCCGTTCCAGAATTCATCGAACGCGTGCATAGTTTGGGCACTATGGGTCTTGTGGTCGAGTTCGAAGCGATGTTCAAAGATCGACCATTGCAAGGAACATGTGATCAATTCGCGTGAGTTTTCCGCATAGTTGTTCAAGCGGTGTTTGGATCATTCTCTCAATATCGGTAGGCACTCTCACTGATCTAAACCTGTCAAACACTCAGGGATGCAGTCAATTAGGATCAATCATTGTCGCATGTCACACACACACACATAATGAACAAGAATCAGTATGATCTTCCCGCCAACTATCCATTTTGCGTTGCAATCAGTCCCTAGTTCTGACGTGCATTAGTTCGAAATGGTGTCATGTGTTGTGCCAACGTTTTGGTCTCATTAGGTCTACTCCGAACCGGGGAGTGGTGTGTGTGTGTCGTGCTTCGAGGGAGGGGAGGTAATGTACGTCACAGACAACATATTTCCTTCATGGAAACTAGTTTGATTGGTCGAATATGATGAAATTGGTTATCCGAATGGATAGCGAAAACGTATGTATTCACTGATCTGGGATCATATACAATTCCATAAATTACCCACTGATTTTTATCATGGATAACTATCACCACTATGGACAGTGAGAGTGAAAGAGAAATAGAGAGCTTTCGTTAGTTGATTCACTCCACTGCACAGATGGGAGAACTCAGCTGACTCTGATCAACTCCACAATTGATGCTCAAACTGGCACAGTACAGTCTTCATGCTTCATTCCAACACTCATTTTCTATGATGTGATACTTACGATAATACATAAACAGTCGTCTTATAATGTCTCATTGGACCTGGCATTTTTTTAATGATAGCAATCAATGCCTAATGCCGAATTGATCAGTCTGTTTGGAAGCCAGGTCATTGACTGGTTAACCTTGCGATATTTAGTTTAAACAGCATATCAGAAGGGTATGCGAATAACTGTAAAACTCACCCCCCCCAACTCCTCTCCAGCTCTGTTTTTGAGTTCAACTCAGGGTGTACAAGCCGACCGAGTACGTGAACTAAGTTGTCTTGGAATTTTGTCTATCCGGCAAGTTTGGTATGAGCATTATAGAACCTCGTTTGGCTGGCAACAATCCGAACACTGCCAATTCGAGTAAATTTCCGCTCTCGTGATTTCACATTATAGTAAATTTAGTGAAACGTCTAACCGGTTCATATGTGACACATGCAGACCTGTGATCCAGTCCACTGATCAGTTTTACTTCATGCCCAGTTTGTCCATCACGCCTTTTGGGACTTGTCGTTCAGACACACACACACACAAACCCTGATACCTCATAAAGAACTATTGTCCCAAAAAAAACATCTGACAATATGGATCTCTTTTATGCACATCAAATCCTTAGGGAAAGACTCCGATGCAATCTACTAGAGTGGCCCTTGAAATATGTGTTACGAAGCGCTTTTGTGATAATTGGTCAGTTACCAGATAGCAGTATCGGGGTTACCAAGGTGTGTGAGGTTTCATGTTAGCTGGTTCTCTAAGAATGTCTGATGTGAATGAGTTTTAAATCACGCGAAGGATCTACTCAATTTTCTTGACCGGAACAAGCATAGCATGCGAGTAGAACCATATTGAGGAATTTTCCGCCAGACTCTCAGAGCACGTACTGTTTATGCAGATCATTGATTCCTACATTGCAACTGGTTGGTGGTTGGAAACATTGAAGGATATTGCAGCGAACTGACAACAGTGACGTTCTTTTTGTCGTTTCTTATCCGACCGGTATACTTGGAACGGTATGTACGCACAGTTAGATAGGACACTCTGTGTGTTTGTGTTGACCATAGAGGTTCACTTTCTTCCGCCGTCGAAATAAGTCTGATCCCTGTCTGCCGTACATATTTCTTCTAATTTAGAATGTCAAGCTTGGATTAGCCCATTCGACTATTTGGAGACGCCAGGCACTCTTGTTGGTCTTGGTTGTGGGTTTCACTCCTTGGGAGTATTGGATCCCACACCCAAGACCATCAAGAATGCTTGGTACCTCTGAACAATCGAATCGGCTAATCCAAACACAATAGTCCATATTAATTGAGCCATTGATGACAAGGTGATAACTGTTGACCGTGTAGCTCACGGATAGTCCCGACCGAAATTTAAGCGGTTCAAGTCCTGACACGGGGATACAAAAATCACGGGAACTGCTGACGAGTCCCCCAAACTGGAAGAAACAGCTGTATCCAGTGCCCCTTTTCGGTTATCACAAAACATTCTCACTAATTGTGTGAGTATTGCGAGTTTCACAACAATCGATGGGGTGCGCTCCTCAGAGACCCGTTCACCTGTTTGTGGAACTCGTGTCCGAGCACGCACACAGAGATGCTGACTAAAGGTCGGTACAACTTAGGCTCTACCATCTGTGAACTACAAGACCCAAAGCAACAATTCTGTTCATTTTATACTTGTTCACCAATCCCACTTTGTCTTGGCATTTGGACGCACTAATTAGTGGCAAACGTCCTCGTTCCAGTAGGCTTTTCCCCAGAATCAACCGAATGATCTCGACCGATCAAAAAATGGCTCCACTTCCTCCCGCCCGAGGACAAGTCTATTTAATGGAATTATCAAAAGAGAATCTGAATAATAGGGTATCGAATGATGTTCAGAGTACCACTCGGTATTTGTCCCGTCAGATGCGCATCTAGTTTGTTATACAATCAAATACTGTCTGTATGGTAACATGCCAACAGTGTTGAGGGCCTTATGCGACGCCTGGTCGTATTTTCGCAGGTTGCATGGCTTTCCATGGGCATTTGTGACATATACTGTAGCCTAATCGCACCCCTCCCCCGGGGGAAAAACCCGCCTTGCTCCGCTTATTCAGCTGTATCCGTTGTAGTCCATCTATTGACTGGTAACCATCCAACTCGCCGTTCCTCTATCCGTGATGTGAAGATGCGCCCGACTGAGTACAACGCCGCTGGTCTTATAGTAAGCCACCCACACATGTCTAGATTTAAACGGTTTGCCAACAAGCTTGGATTGAGTAAAATTTAACATAGCGTAAACTACTGACGATGCACGTCCATAAACCCCAAGTGGTTAGTTAGAGTGATTGCTGATCGTGTACGTTCACCTATGCTTATCACATTGTGGGTGGATCGTATTATTTACTGTCAACATAAGTTCTCCGGTTCCAACTCGACCAGTGCCACTCAGCTCATATGCGGGATGGCTCTACTACAGTGCTCAGTAGATTTATTAAAGCGTTCAAAATAAGTCTTTGCATGAGAGTATGAAAACCTTAACCAGGACACTAGATCACATAAAACTCGTTAGGCTCCATGGCTGTAAACCCCGAGATTGTGGTAACCAGTGGTTAGAGACACTGAGTGCTATGACTGCACAAAATTCAAGAATAAGCTGTCCATTCTCTCCGCATCCATGCTCGTTCACTTGCGCATGTCCGGCTAGTTATGCAGGGCGAATGATGAGACAGTTTCACAAAGGATTAGGGAATATAAATCGGCCTGGCTGAGCACGCGATGCAAGAAAGCAGTTACCAGTTCAANACAGCAGATAGACAATGATACTTTTAAAGTACATCATGTATTATTATTACATTTCACATTTGTCTGAGGACAGACTGTGTGCCAAGCAAATCATGGTACAATAATGATTGGCTTGTGAGCTGAATACTGCAAGGTTCCCCAGGCCAAGGTGGATTTTCTTGAGGAACATACAACCGGAGCCTTTGGCTAGCCAAAGTCTGACCCGCAAGCCAGTGGGATGGTGTGAAAATTGCAATCCCTTGGGGGCCGGTGTCCAGTTCATCGGATC